AGAGAGAGAGAGAGAGAGAGAGAGAGAGAGAGAGAGAGAGAGAGACGGATTCGAGTGGGAAAGTACGCGTGGTGTCTCACAGCCATTGCGTCCTGAGAGCCTTGCGTACATGCTCTCAGGGTCAACTCCCTGCCTTTCCACGAAGCCTGCTGCTGCTGTAGACCAGAACAAAACCCGAAAGAATACAACGTTGACCACGTTCGTTCGTGGCGAACGTGTGTGTTGGAAGGGACACACACACACACCAATTTCCTACAACAAGGACGCTCGTTCACCCCACAGGCAAGTGCAAGTGCACCTCCAGCGTGAGCCCTGTCGGGGGGCCTGCACTTGGACCCCGACCGCATAGATACCCACACACATCGCGCCCAGATCGCGTATCGTACCCAAGTACCACAACACAGAACAAACGTACAATGCTGTACACAAAACTAGATGCTGTACCTACGGATGGCAAATTTCCTCGCTCGAAGATGCGCAACAAGCCTGGCGTTGATCTACGTGCCAGCTCAGGATCAGGACCGAACATACATACGGGCGTACCCCTGACATCACTTCTTTCAACTCGATCACCTGCCGGTCTTCCAATCGTAGTGGACGTCTAACTCCAGGTGGCGCACCCCGGCATCCAGCTGCGCAGGGATGGAAGGGAACTCGTACTTCCAAAACTTGCCCAACCCAGGAATGTTCGTGCGCCGATGGTACGAGTTGTGCGTACCGTACACCTTGAGGGGATTTGTTGCGAGCGGAGTGTCGAGAGAGGGGTGAGACGAGGGGAACAGCAGGACTCGAGATGGAAAGTCGCCTATAAGGTCCGGCCGGCATCTATCGCGTGTGCCCTTGCCCAGAAATAAATCGATCGTCCTGGGGTTTGTTTGGCTGCGTTGAATTTGAGGGGCTACTGCGCGGATGATCCATAGCACGCCAAAGTGTCTGGCTTTGAACCCTGCTTCTGCTCTCGCTCTCGCGCTGTACTTGCCCATGTCTGTCTGTGGGTGTCAGTCTGACTCTTTCTCTCTCTTTCTCGTGTGTGTTGGTGTTTCCTTGCGGTTCCTGTGACACCACATGCATCGATGTGTTGAACGGCGGGCGGGGCAAAAACAAACGAATTGTTGACCGGGACAAGGAAAACAACGGGCCGGGTCTATTTTGCCATATTAAGAAAGGCAAAAAACCTGCACAAGTATCAAGCGTCCCACTGGTGTGGCGGTATGCGAATGGAACATGTCTACTAGCGACGTGGGTTCCAAACTGTCTTGCCCCAGTGTTTTACATCCTCGAGAAAAAAATCGTGATGGGGGCAGCGAGCAGCTACACTCTCCACTTGGCCTTCACAAACCCAAAAGGTAATCAACAAACACTTACTTCGTATATTTTTCTATCTGCGTACAATTATATATTTTCTATCATGTGTACACATACCAAACATGCCGCGATGCAAACAGACGCAAAGTTATATGCTGAGGGAAAGCTATCAATGGTCGCAAAATGACAGGTAATAATAGTGGTTCCTGCTGGAACAGCCTGTTAGGTTGGTGCGTGGTGAATGTCATGTCGCATTAGGCAAACGTTTGGAGCTCAACGGAAGAATATGCACCGAAAACCCTAGCTCAAACTGGTCATGGCCATCGTCCCAGACATGGGAAGTAGTTGCGACAGAGAGCTTGTTGTTTCGAGCAATGGGACGGTTTCTATACTTTGTTCGGTCTAAACACGCCTTGGGAATGACTCCTTGTTGAGAAGAACCATTTTGAATCTTGTGGTCGCGCTGAGAATTGATAATGTGCTGTACCGTAGGAGGGTCTTGAAAAAATGTAGCCTGTCATGCTTCTGCTACCCACACCAATTATCAACCACACGATGCATGCATGTGTTCACTTGCCAAGTGTTGATTTATCAAGACTCGCAAACATGCGTGAATAGCGTGCGATTCAAGCGCGTGATGACATGTATGCATACAACAGGTCGGTGAGCAGACGCTCTTGTTTTGTACAAAATGCATTTTTATCCAGAAATGTTCGGCCAGAATAAATTCACCTGCAGTTGATTGATATGTAGCGTGGAGAAAGGCTGGACGTCGTATCCCACGCTGCTACCCTCCATTGACGCGACCTCAGCTCCTCCAACTGCAGAGGACGAGGAGCTAAGTGTTCCCCACACACCACCATCGCACGTTGTGCACATTGGGACAAGGCTCCAATACGCAACGAGGAGGGCCAGACTCACCCCAAACAGACAACAGCAACACCGCAACGCCAAACATACACGACCCGTGCACTGCTGCTGCGCTCGTTGTTGCTCCTTGGGGTCGCTGCTGCTGCAGTACCATGGAGTTTCCCTCGGCGGCAGCGGCGGGTGTGGCGAGATCTCAAGTGCTCCTGTTGGGCGTTTGGCTTGTCTCAGCAATCGATCAGGAGAGAATCCCTCGGTACCGGCTTCGAGCTCCGCCGACCTCGGCTGCTTTGGCGAGATCACAACGGGGAGCGGTATCGTCTCGTTGTCTCCTCCCCAATCTCTAGAAATTGGAAGCTGTGGAGCCATCCCTTTGGAGCGTCGTTCGCCCGTCGGTGGTGACCAACACAGCTTCAAGTTGAGCTCGCAGACTGAAGACAGGCTTGACAATAACGAAACGCGACAGAACCGCCTGAGAAATGAAAACAGGAGACGAGCCTCCCTCGCAGTGTCTCGAGCAAGCGTACGGCTCCCCCCAATCTCAATGGCAGTACCTGGGCGATGCGCGATATCTCTCACGGCCTGCCGCTCCCTGGAGGTGGGCCTCGATGATGGTGTTGTGTCAGTATTTTTGAACTCCGGCGGTGTTGCAACAAGTGGGCTGCGTCGTACTCATGTGCGTCTGCCTGTCCTACTCCAGTTTCGAGATACAGGCAGGGCTCTTGCAGCAAGAAAGATACAGAGCGGGTCGCGCTATGCGCCTATGCGCCTCCCTGGGTGCCCGGTTTGCACGTCTTGGGGTGAGCGCGAGAGTTTATGAATGTTGGTTAGGCGACAACTGCGTTCGTACTTTATTGTTCGCGTACTGTTTGCGCGAAGAGTGGCCTGCTGCAGGCGAAATGTTTGATGTCGTGTGTGGTCGGTTCGCTGCTAATCGGTACACCGTGACAGTTGTAATCAGCGGCGTAACTTGCGTCCCGAATCTCGCCAACAGCAACATATAGCTTCACGGAACCTTACTTCCTCCATCCATACATCCAAACCAAAAAAATAAAATAATGATGGTTTCGTCGTTCCTTGAGCGAGGACGAGAGAGAAAAAACGGGCGTGAAGCACAGAAGTGCGCGAAAGGGAACCTCGCGTTGTTGTTCATCGCGTGTTGGGTGACGGTGTAATCAGCGAGGCCTGAACATCGCGTGTGCGATAGTTACTGTTCTTATTGTCTTCCGATTTTTTTTGCTGGAACCACGTCCTGCATGGCGACCTTTGTACAATTTAGGTTCGGTTAGCCTGTCACCTGTGCGTCAGCGTCAGAAGGACCCGGTACGGGCATAAGAAGGGATGGACTGATTGACAGAGCGGGGAGAAGTTCTGATACCTGTAAGGCTTAGTATTTTTTACGCCAATTATCTCACTCAACTCGCTTTTGACCCCAGGTTCTCGGCCCCACGGTATTTCCCGACCAAGTCGTGCCGCACAGCGGCGCCGCATCCCGTTTTTTTCACTTGGGACTGTATCATCAGCGTTTGGAGTTGGCGATCTCGGGTTTCCTCTCTCCAAAAGTTTTTCCGTCAATATTATGGAAATTGCAACGACAGATTTTCGAGTGGGGTCGAAGAGAGAGGTCACGTGTGCCTCCTGCCCCCGCCCGGCCTCCCTGCAAGTTTCGTCAGTTGCGCTTCCTGTTTCCCGTCGCGTCCGTCGTGGACGAACTTCGATGCTTTACGTTGTGGATGGTGTTGATCTCCCGTACGATAGTGAGGATTCATTAATTGAATCGAACCCTGGAAACAAACCTCTTCCACATGCTGGACGACGTCTAAAAGAGCAACAATAGCAAGCCCATCGCCGACGAGCATGATGAGGAGGAGGAGGAGGAATCGGTGCAAGCCGGGGCGTAATGGACCGTGTACGACGATCAGAGTTCTACACGCATGATTGCGAGTTCCTCCATGAAAATGGGCCCACCTCTCATTGAGGAGGCCGACACCAGCCTGTCGCGCCGCAATCTTAGCGATCGCCTCCAGCTAATACCTCGAGGGATAGCGTTTGACCAATAATTCTAGTTTTTAGCTTTTTTGGTGTGTCAGCCCAAGGGATGCCGTCATTGTCTCGACTACAAAGTATAAGACAGGCCAGATGTTCGCCATTACAAAGTGCGAGCGAGCGACTTCACCATTCATTCTCGTTCGAGCAGTACGGAAGGACGAGGTGTGAAGACCGAGGGGAATAAAATAACAGTCACGGCCCCACAATTCGATGATTCGCCACTACTTTCATGTGCGTGCCAGGGGCGTTTGTTTCAGGAGAAGCATTTCGGGGTCACATAGTTTTGAAAGCGTTTGACTTGGTAGACGAAGAAACCCACTCACGACGGGTCGGCGGGAAAAATCGCACGTGCTTTGACGCTGCCGACTTTCCATCATAGCGCCGACGGTTCCACGCATGCACGCACGCACTTCTACCTCCGCAAGGGGCGTAGCGAAAACAGCAATACGGTGATCATACTGAAACAACACACAAATTATTTGCCAATACAATGCAATCATCTCACCACCGCACGCTCTCGTCCTCCTCCGCTCCACACTCTCACACTCGCTTGATCCGACACTCAACTCCCGTGAGCTAGGGCGTTTCACTTCGGAAGCCCTGCGTGTGCCCACCTGGGGTCCCAGGGGAATCACAATGCCTCTCCACCCCACCCCCAATCCCCTGTACCGCGGGCGGGCGGGTGGGCGGGCGACCCCGTGCGGACACTGGAGGAAGGCCCACCCCTCCCCGCCCGCGCGGTATTTTCTTTTGTGCTCACTCCATGTTTATCTGACAGCAGACGTTGTGAAGACGTTTACACCAAGGGACCGGCGGCAACCAGGTATAAAGCGCAACACCGCAACCAACCAAGGCTTTTATCTTTGTTTTCTCCCAGACAAAAATCAAGCAAAGCTCCGCCCCCCGTCTTCGCCAGTATAAGATAGGCGGGTACTTGCATGCTGATTCGGTTTATAGCCCGACAAACTACAAGTGCTCAGCTGTTGATTCCCCCCTACCGACGGCCCAGCAAGCAACCGACAATGATGCACGAAGTCCCTATCCGATGCCACACGCACAAACCACCAGTTACCAAGAGAAACTAAGGGGCGACGGATAGTAGGAAGGAAGAGGGGGGGGGGGGGGGGCC